AAGCAAAGACTGGAACTTAGTAGGAGGCTTGGCTTGGAGACTAAGCAAGTCAAATTCTGGTTTCAAAATCGACGAACCCAAATGAAGGTAATTTGCAGATAGTCGTGAATCAGTCTGCAAAAGTAATTATATTCTTTTATTATTATTTTATTCATCTTGCACTTTATGATTGATCTGTCTCTGTGACAATCGGACAGCTGGAAGATTATGGATAACCTATTAAAGAACAAATTGAGAAAGGGCATATTTGGGGAAACAAAAATTTGAATTCCTTTAATTGTTAAAGACAAGTATTTATTGTTGACGATCTGGTGGATGGTGCATTAATGAAGATTTGTCTTTTAATTTTTGAATTACCAGACCCAACTGGAGCGTCATGAGAATCATTTTCTGAGGCAAGAAAATGACAAGCTCCGAGCTGAGAACAGTATGATGAAGGAAGCCATGGCCAACCCGGTATGCAACAACTGCGGAAGCCCAGCCATTCCTGGGCAAATCTCATTCGAAGAACACCAACTAAGGATTGAAAATGCTCGATTGAAGGACGAACTGAACCGCATATGTGCCTTGGCTAACAAGTTTCTGGGAAGGCCAATCTCAACCATGGCTCTTGCAACCCCAAATTCTGGTCTTGAGCTAGCCATTGGAAGGAGTAATAATACTATGAGCGGGATTGGTCTTGGGTCAAGCTTTCCGGTGGGATTTGATATGGGGATGACAATGCAAATGGGAAATGATCAAGCACAGGTTGAGAGATCCATGCTTATAGACCTTGCCTTGGCTGCTATGGAGGAATTGATGAAGATGGCTCAAGGGGACGCCCCTCTTTGGATTAAGACATTGGATGGCGGTAATGAAGTCCTGAATCTAGAGGAGTATGCTCGGATTTTTCCTCCTTGTCTTGGCCCGAAACCTCCTGGTTATGTCACTGAAGCTACTAGAGGCACTGGAGTAGTGACGATCAACAGTTTGGCTCTTGTTGAAACATTGATGGACATGGTATATAACATTATCCTCAATTTGATCCATCAAACACTTTGTTCTTATGGTTTATTTATTGTTCTGATTGATTAATTCTGGGAATATGCAGAATCGATGGGTGGAGATGTTTCCGACCATGATTGCTAGAGCTTTGCCGCTCGATGTGATATCAAATGGCGTGGGAGGGACCAGAAGCAGTACTTTGCTCTTGGTATATATATTTCTCTCCTGCTTTGTTTTATTCCTAGTATATCAGATACATACAACACAACATTGTAATTATGCACTTCAGAATTACAGTTTTTTACTTGTATCTTCAACCTGATCGGTACGATTATGTTGCCTTGTCAGTTGGAAGCTGAGCTGCAAATGCTTTCGCCGTTGGTGCCCGTTCGGCAGACGAGATTGCTGCGATTTTGCAAGCAGCAAACAGAAAATCTATGGGCTGTGGTTGATGTTTCAGTCGAGATTGGTCGTGACCCCACCAATGCACACCCTTTCGTCGCATGCAGGAGGCTTCCTTCTGGCTGCCTTGTGCAAGATATGCCCAACGGTTACTCCAAGGTACGTATACTTCTTCATATATATATATATATATATATATATATATATATTATACACTTTCATTATCTGACCCAAACGTGAAGTATTTTACTGATCGCACAGACAGATTCGGAATTCGTATATATTAGCTGGAGCTGCTTCTTATTGTCTGTGATCGCTTCTTGAGATGAGTGAATCGAGGCTTGCATGGTTTATGAATAACGTGGAAGCTTCATTTTTGGTCCTGCATCTTATATATATCTTACTTTATCTTCACTAAGTCGGCAAATAATTAAGATTCGATTGATTCTTGGGTTTTTCCATGTTTGTTGTGTGAAAATCTGAGCCATGCTTGGATTCCTATCTCTCTAATAAAGATATAATATATATTTTACACTATTTTTTTAAACTGTGCTCGAGGTTGTAATGACCTGTATCCAGTCTTCTGTGCTATCATAATTTATATATGTCTGTATGTGTGTGTGTGTGTACTTGATCCAGGTGAGATGTTAGTCCGTGTCTTCCACAGAATCAAACCTTTGTTTTTTTATCCCACTACTGTACAACACTCTATAAAATCACAAACTTATTAGTATGGTGGCTAGAGGGGTCATTTTTGATGCTATTGTTTTCATCTATGTTTATCTATCAAGCGCACGTGTAAATAATTAATATGAAAAAAATATGCCATTTTGACCTCCCTGGTCTCCCATGAAAGAGAATTAATCTCTATATTATATTTTATGATACATTTCCTTGCATGCGTGTCTATCGTATATTGCAGGTTACTTGGGTAGAGCATTGGCAGTACGATGAGAATGTGGTGCACCATCTTTACCGTCCGATGGTGAACGCCGGCATTGGCTTCGGTGCTCCTAGATGGATCGCCGCCCTCCAAAGGCAATGCGAATGCTTGGCCATCCTCTTGTCCTCTTCCCTTCCTATTGATGATCACGCTAGTATGTCACATTCTCATTCCACTTGCTTCACCAGGGTTTCATCCTACGATTTTAGCTTGTTCATTTATGTTTGATCCAAACAAAACCTTGATGTTCTGATGATGATGTCCCAGCACTGAGCCAAGGTGGGCGGCGGAGTATGGTGAAGCTGGCACAACGTATGACGGACAACTTCTGTTCTGGGATAATCGCTTCCTCTGGCCTCAGGTGGGACAGCCTCCGTGTGGAGACGCTGGGAGATGACGTTAAGGTTATGACCCGCAAGAGCGAAGGCGAACCAGGCGATCCTCCCGGAGTCATGCTCAGCGCCGCCACTTCCATCTGGCTGCCGCTGTCGCAGCAGAGTTTGTTCGACTTCCTCCGGGATCAACGCCGGAGATTCGAGTGGGACATCTTGTCCAACGGCGCCGGTACCATGCAGGAAGTGGCTCTCATTGCGAAGGGACAGACACATGGTAACTGTGTTTCTCTACTACGGACCAACGTAAGTATATACTGTCTTGTCCCCTCCTATTTCGATTTTCGTAAGTCGGACATTTAGCTTAGTGGACATTTATATATTCAGGGTGCTAATGGGAACGAGACCAGCATGGTGATGCTGCAAGAGACATGGACGGATGCTACAGGGTCTATGGTGGTTTATGCACCAGTTGATGTGCAGTCGCTGAACGTGGTGATGAGCGGCGGCGATTCTTCGTACGTGGCTCTCTTGCCTTCTGGCTTCGCCATTCATCCCGACGTCAGCCGCAACGGGAGTCCTCCGGGCGGTGACGGTGGCAGTGGCGGAAGCTTGCTTACGGTAGGGTTACAGATACTGGTGAACAGCCTGCCAACAGGGAAGCTGACGGTGGAGTCCATTGAAACGGTGAACAATCTAATGACGGCCACAGTTCAGAAGATCAAAGAGGCGCTCAGAGTTGCATGAAGTCGATGATGATTACAAGTAGTGTTAATGGAGTCTGCAGTTTTCAGATTTAGGGTTTGGATTTTTAAAGGTGGAACAAAATGAGTAGTTGAGAGGAGGTAAAGAGAGGATATAGAAAGCGGTGGTGGGGGAAGTAAGGGAAGGTTTCGAGTCAAGAACGAACCATGCATGGTAGAAAGAACAGGGTATATGATATGGTGGCAGCGGGTGGTTCGGGTATTGACTCGTTGACCTCCGAGCGTTACTCGGTTTTTCATTTCTCCTGGAGTCTTTTTTTTATTTTTTATTTTTTCCCTTTCTTTGTCTTATATGATGATTAGTGTTTGATGTCGTTCATGAGTCTTACGTTATTATAATATAAAGTTGGAACTTCAGAGTGTCCTCTGTTCAACTCCTTTTGGTTTTTCTTTTTTGTCTCTTGCTTTGGCTTTTATACCTCCTCTGTTCTATAGCCAAATTTGTCTCCTTTCTTCGGTTTCTGATAAAATCCCGTGACTGTAAATGGCAAAGAAATATAATAATCGGGGAAAACTTAAGAGCAAATTAAATGGTTTTTCGTTATTATTTTACATGACTCAAGTTTGATTTCTTCAAAAACAAATACTCCTTCGGTCCTTAATATAAGACCCATTTAACTAATTTGATTAGATTAAAGAAGTTAGATAAGTTAGTTAATTATAAGAAATATGACACGTTTTTTCTAAAATACCATAATCATATTTCTTAATACCTCATTTTTCTCTTATACTTGATTATGGTTGAAAGGGTATTCATAGGGGTAATTTAGAGATAATTGATAAATATGAGAAATGAGTCTTATATTTAAGACCAAAACCAACTCACCAATTGGGTTTTATATGAAGGACCGGAAGAGTATTATTTACATTTATAGTTATTTGGTCACATCAAATTTTAACACTGTCGATTTGATTAGTTTTCGTTAACCCTTAAATAAAAAAATGATTGTGCAAAAATTTTATCCTGTTAATATAGGAAGTTATCAATTTCCTTTTCCATAGGATTATTTTTTAAATTTGGTATAGTTTTTAAAATGAGGTTTCTGAATTTATTCTTTTGTAAGCAAAAACATTATCGCGCCAAAATTTAGAAGTTTCTTTTGGCCTGAAATTAAAATGTTATTAGTATGTGAAGGACTGTTACTGATAAACAATTTTATTCGTATAAACATAAAAAATTTAGTTTTATTTATACGAAACTAAATTAAAATATGTGAGGGTATTCACTTTTGGGCCTATGCTTGCTTTTCTTTTTGGGCTGTTTTATGTTTTTTTTTTTTATCCATCCTCTCCTTCTGGTTTTTCGGTTGATACGAAGGAAACATTCTGAACCGAAAGAGGCGGCCAGCGACAATTGAGTTACAAGATCTGGGCTTTTTTCGGCTGTCACAAGATCTGGGCTCTCGAGGGCAATGAAAGCTCATTCACAAGGCACCCTAAAAATTGAAGTAATTATACCATTGCCCCATTATTTTATTTATTTTATGCAATCTCCTCTTTATGTTTTATTATTCGTCTTCGGATCCCCACTAGGCACCATGCTCGTTTGCTATCCCTTCCCTTGTTCCCCTCCATGTCTTCATGTACAACGAACAGGCGCTAAACCCTGAAATCTAACAGCCACAAGAGCTCAAAATGCGAGTCTTCTTTTCCTATGGCGCCAATATCTTCAAGCGCAAGACCCTAACACATGAGAACACTCGATTATTTCTGAATATGTTTAGCTTCACCCGAGAAATGTCGCAGTCCACTGCCATTCCCAAAAAGCTTCAAAGAGTTCGAGATCATGGCTATGACAACTACATGGAAGTCGAGAAGAAAATGAGAAAAGTTCTCAAATTTCAGGACCTCATTCTTTCGCAGCTCAACCAAACACTCCCAATCTCTCGCCTCGACACCCTCGCTCGCCGAATCGGCTTGAAACAGCACGAAGCCGGCGCGTTCATACTCAAATTCCCTCATGTTTTCGAGGTTTACGAACACCCCGTTCAGCGGATTCTCTTCTGCCGATTAACCCGGAAAGCCATTCTCCAAATCGATCAAGAAAGGCAAGCCCTCATCGCGCAAATTCCAGACGGTGTCACGCGCCTCCGGAAGCTTTTGATGATGTCTAACACCGGAAGGCTTCGTCTGGAGCATGTTCGTATTGCTCGGTCTGCGTTTGGGTTACCGGACGACTTCGAGTACTCGGTGGTTCTCAGGTACCCGCAGTATTTTCGATTGTATGATGCCAAAGAGACCAGGAATAAGTACATCGAGCTTGTGGAGAGGGATGAGAAGTTAACTGTGTGTGCCATAGAGAAAGCTAGGGAGAAGGAATACAGGGAGAAAGGAGTTGAAGCTGAAAATATTAGATTTTCTTTCATTATAAATTTCCCTCCGGGCTTTAAGATTGGGAAGTATTTTAGAATTGCAATGTGGAAGTGGCAACGTTTGCCATACTGGTCACCTTATGAAGATGTTTCAGGATATGATTTGAGATCGATTGAGGCTCAGAAGCGAATGGAGAAGAGAGCAGTTGCTACAATCCATGAATTGTTGTCGTTGACTGTAGAGAAAAAAATTACTCTGGAGAGGATTGCTCATTTTCGGATGGCAATGAATTTGCCCAAGAAGTTGAAAGACTTTCTTCTTCAGCACCAGGGGATATTTTATGTCTCAACTAGAGGGAATCAAGGGAAGCTGCACACGGTTTTCCTCAGGGAGGCGTATAGAAAGGGAGAATTGATAGAGCCCAATGATTTGTATTTAGCAAGAAGGAAGCTAGCTGAGTTGATTTTGACAAGTCCCAGGAAAGCAAACGTTGATAGAGAATTGATTGGCTATAGGAGAAGTAGAGAAGAGGATGAAATGGGCCCAATAAGAAGAGCATGTGTTGAGAATGGTTTTGAGGACTTTGAGGGTGGAGATAGTATCGGGCAAGAAGGGGATGCGGAGGCTGATTTGTCATCAGGCATGGGTTCTGATGTTGATTCTGAAATTGAAGATGAGGATGACGATTTTGAGGATAATGTATCAATGGAAAGGACATCTCAGTAACATTAATATCAGGTTGAGAAGGTGGAATTGAAAACTTTCACCTGGCTTGGTTGGATGCTTTCTGTGGAGAGAATATATTGAGGGATTCTTTCAACGTTGGTTCTTCCTATTTCGCTGTTTAGAAGTCTCTCGGTGGCTTCAAAAGAAAGTATTCAAAGCAGTGGACATTAGTTAAGATTGCTATCTATCTCATCTCATCTCATCTCATCTGAAGTGATCATATGACATGTGACTTGTTTGGCTAGTATGCAGCGAGTTTTGTGGCCATTATCATGAATATCTTTTCTTCAATGGTGGCTGGCAAACCATACTGTGGGAATTTGGATTTGCTGGATACTGAGTGCCAGATCTTGAAGATGATTGTATGTGTCATTGCTAAACCAATAAGACTGGAACTGATATGTTGTCAGGTTTATCTGTACACAGAGAAACAATTAAATGGAAGAAAACTACCAAGCAAAGGAAGGAATTACACCTTAAGCTCGAAGCTTCAAATTGTTGGAAGGTATAGGGCTTAACTCGGACGTTCATCCAACCACATAAGGCAACTCCAGTTAACTTGAGTTTTGTTACTATCCTGTTTTGGAAATTCGTTGACATGAAAAAGCAGTGGCTCGTAAACTGATGCACAGGTAATTTAACATTGGCTCATCAGTGTTATGCTAGCGTACTAAATGCCGTTAGTCTTCAAAAAACAATAACTAGCCTTGTGTCACTAAGCTAGATAAGCTGTATGAATTGTACAATGGCATTGTGCTCTTTCAATACTGACTTCGCTCATTTTTCTTCATAACTAGTCCCAAGCATAGACAAAAGAGTGTTATGTTAGTCCCTCAGACAAAAAATGTGATTTCCCATGTCAAATTATGTTTTGATCAATACATGCTTCGATCAAAATGTCTTCATCAGATTACTAATTATTTTATGTGGGAACTTAAAGAAGTCATCAATCGAGACCTCTTGGTTAGCGGCTCATTAGAGGAATTGGTTTCAAGACAGGGCACAAGGATATTGTATGATTCACGTAGCTGACCCACTTAATGCGATAAAGCTTTTATCGTTGACTTTTTCTCTTTATTTTTATTCAATTGGGAACTTTGATCAGATAGGTAGAAGTTTTCTTTCCCTTGGTTGGCAAGCATTGACATCGCTACGAAGTATGTGCAAATTGGTGGAGATTACAGACTAATAATAAGCTTCGTCATTTTGCTGTTCACCTATTGGCTTGTTGACTTTTACAGTTTGATCTTCTATGAGTGGCGAACAGAAAAAACTAGAGTGAACTCGTAGGTTTTCTGAGACAGGCAGATGAAAACAGATATAGAAATTTGATGATAAGTGGATAGCTAAGCAATTGTATAGCGTTTTGTAGGGTTGAAGAAGGAAGTCATGAGACTGATGATCAAGAAATGACCGAAAACCATCTCAGACTTGAAGATTAGATGAGGCGGAGTCAATTGTTGGTGGGTTTGGTTCAGCTAACATTGAAGGGGAAGGACGTGTAAGAAACAATAACGGCCTGTTTGAATTCTTATGAAAATTTACTGCCATACTTTATTCATTTTTATAATTCTGATACAGTTGGGCTTATCATATTCACAAGTCTGATGCAAACTTGCTGGTTTGACTTTGCTGGGATTCATTGTAAATTCAAAGCAGGGTCCTACACTCCATTGATATTCTGGTTTACTGGGGAAATTTCCAGTTGCACATAAGATTAGATGTACGTGTGGGAACTGAATTTGCGTGATTCATTTTGTTGATTATTTGACTTAATTAAACTGTAATTGGGTCAAATTAAGCCCGTCATTTACCCAAGCAAAAAAGGAAAGTAAACATGTTAGGCACGTTCTTGTTTTTTTAATAAAAAAAATCCATATATTTATTTTAGTTTACATTTGTTTTTATGAATTTGGGGGGAAATTTATTGGAGTAGAATACCCGCTTTAATCCTTATACAGTACATGTTGATTGGGACATTTTGGGTCCATGCTGAACAGAAACCCATTCCAATTATTTTAATTGTAAATTATAAGTTTTTATCTTTAAAATTTGACCACAACGAGTGCGAGGGAAGCTGAAAAGATTCCTTCATTCCTTGGTTTTTAAGAAGACCTCAATCAGTTTTATTTTAAAGATAATTTCTTTAACACAACGATACTAAGAGGGGAGAAAAAAAAACCTTAATGTTCCCTTATTACGTTTTATTAATGAAACAACCAATTAACTGGAGTTACAAAAGTAACGTACCCAGATCTAAAAATTTATGATAGTATGTTGTCAAATCTTTATGATTAAAATAATTTTTACATAACAAAATATTATCGAGAGAGCTACCTCCAATTCGGTATTTAACATAAAATCTATGAAAACCTGTATTTCATGAATCCCTAACAAAACAATTCATGTAAACTCCGTGAAACGTACGAAACGTAAAATTCACTATTTAGTTTAAGTTATAAATTAATATATAAAATAAATTATCTCATTCAAATCTATTTAAATCAAGTTATACATATAAGACGCCTGGTTGATTGCCTTTTTTTGACCAGCTGGTTGATTATTACTTAAATACGTATGATTGCATATAAATATTACGAGGTTTAAAATATGAGGCAGATATAATTTAGAAGGTATAAGTCAATATGATATGGTGTGGATGTTATATGATATACTCCTCTGGTTTTATTTATAAGGCATTAAAAAAAAATATTTTTTAGTCCTATCTAAAGGGCATTGAGAGAATTTTTTTACACAGATGTGCAATTTTAATTCTTATTTATTATTATGTTGACTTTGTTTATATGGGGTATAATATATATTAAATATGAGTAAAGTTAGAAAATTATTAAATTTTAAATGAGAGTTAATGAAATTTAAAGTTTTTCTTGGCTTGTATGAAACATTTTATAAGTGTTTTATAAATAGGACCAGAAGAGTATTGATTAGCCGCTCAGGTTCGCAACACGTGGACGCGTTTTTTGATGGTCTTGCGCAACCCATATCTCCGTATTTAATCAATCATGTCATTTTTAATTAATACTAGTATGATTATTTATATTCATAACCTATACTATGGACTTACGTATTTTTCCATATTATATGTAACCACATATATATATTTGCGTATTCAAACTTAGGTCTTGCTTAATTAATACGGCGACCCCCGTCGTGTCTGGGATATTTTAGATTTGCTTTTGTTAGTATATGGGTGTTGGTGGCTAGACATGGTACCGTCCAATTCATGAAAAACAAATCAATAGAAGGATGCAATTTTAAATAATACTAGTATTTCTCTGATATACAATGACATTATTTATGGCTCATAAACAATTTGATTCATTTCTCAAAAGTCTACATTTTTTTTTTACCAACCCCAAAGTACACATAAATAGTCTACAAAATTTGCCAAAAAAAAACAGAGAGAGAGAGTCTACAACATTATGTTTTAAGGGGGGAAAAAAATCTCATGACAAAATACCCATCCGGTCCTGAGTGTAGCAACTAGCTACGTCTGATTCTAAATATATAAGACCTTAATTTATATTTTATTTATCATATTTATTATTATTTTCTCAAATTAATACTTTTTCGGTTCTTAATATATGATCTAATTTGAGAGCTGATGCTGGTATTATATGTAAAACATATTTTACAGGTTTATTAATATTTTTAAAATTAATCCTATTGATATTTCCTAACAATAATCAAGTAGAAGAGAGAGAGAATTAAAAGATGAATAGAGTGTTTTAAAAAGGACATACCGTATTGGCTAATGTAATTAACATATTTACTCTATTCAAATTAATTAATGAGATTTTATATTAAGCACAAAAAGAGTATAATATGATATAATATAATATAATATTATACAGGTATATTTTAGAGATCATATCAGGTTTATAAGAATGAAATAATGTATTTACATTTTTTAATTAATTTAAATTAGTTAAATAATTCTTACACTAAAAATGGAAGGAATATAAGAGAAGTACTCTGATGATTATATTGTATTACACTTCAAATTTGAATTCCTTTTATTTGAAATAATTCGAAAGAGCTGAATCTGTGAGCCATGGGAATAAAATTAGATGTGATGGGCATTTAGAGAAGCAACACGCAGCCACAGGTTAATGATAGAAGACTAGAAGTTGATGCGATCCATGGGATAAGACAAAGCAGCTGCTCGGTGATTGAGAGTGACGACCTCTATTTTGGAAATACAGGCACTCTAAAGCAAGTTCAGCTTCTTGATTGGATCCCGGCAAAAAACAAAAAGGAAAAAGAAATATAGGCATTCTTTGTTTTGTTGAAACAAACGTGTCATGCTATCAAGTGGCATGTGAATACCGAATTATGCGAGATCAAATTTCACATATGAAAATTAATTATAATAAATACTCTGTCATTTATTCAAAAATACACCTAATGTGAAATATACTCTTCTGATACTATTTATAAGTTACTTTCAATATGTTTTACACTAACTAAGAAAAACTTTAAACTTTATTAACTCTTATTTAAAATTTAACCACTTTTTAACTTTATCTTTATTTAATATACATTATACCCTATATAAACAAAGTCAACGCAATAATAAATAAAGGGTGAAATTGTACATCTATATAAAAAATTTTCTCTCGCTACCTTATAAATATGACCAAAAAAATCCTTTTCTCTTGATTATAAGGCAAGATTTTATAGTCCTACTCTTTAGTCTTAAATACAGGGCAAAAATATTATAATTAAATTTTCTTAAAATATTATTCTTTCTTAATTGTGGTCTGTGCAAGGGAAGACTTAAGAAAACTTTCAATAAAATTTGAATGGAAACTTTTGATAATCTATCTAAAAATGTGATTATTAATAAAATATAATAATATGATATGATTCATCTAGTGAATATCTTAATAAAACAGAGCCGCTTGCTGCTGCTGTTACAGTATTACTCCTTATTGATTGCCCTCTGACATGATTTTAATTGGTGATGTGGCACTAAAAGACCAAAAAAATGTTGGGAGTCAACATCCTTGATCAATACAGGGGCTAGGTGGTTGGTTTTTCAATATTGGACTTAAAGTGGCACCTACTTGACTATTTCTCTACTCTTCCAGTCTTTTATTAAAAAATCTAATTTTAAAAATAAATTTGTCTTTTTTATAAATTTTTTAAATATGTCTATGTATTTAACACACTATTATCTATTTTACTTTTAATTTAATGTATTTAATACATTCTTTTTTTTTATTTATCTCACTATTACTCTCTCACATTTATCCATTTATTTATATGGGTATATTTAGAAAAAAAAAACTGTATCTGCTACATATTAATTACTTTTAACTAATTTTAACTGTTTTCTTAAACCACACAATTTAGTTAAAATGATCTTATAAATATTAATCATTTTACAAGAGTTTACAAATCAATTTTTAGATAATTTTAATGAAATATTTTGGTGAGCTAACTTAACTTGTATTAAAGATCAAATGGAGTAATTTTCACTGATAATATTTTACCATTGTAAGTCATGTTGCACGTATATATGATAATGTCATTTTTGAATTTTGAATCTCGTCTAAATACAATAGGTAGCGTTACTACTGGAGTAACTAATCATTAACAAAGTTAAATTCTTCTGATAGATTTTGTTTTTTTAGTTGGCCGCCAAGCATATGGTAAGAGTTTAGAACCTCACAATCACACGATCCATTATATAAATATGTTACTCCTCCGGTCCTAATTATAAGACCCAATTGATTTATTTAAGGAGATTAAGGAAGTAAGTTAAGTTGGTTATTTATAATAAATAAATGTTGTTATTATTAAAATATCCTTGCTAATTAAGTATATTGGCTAAAACTATCATTATTAGAAGGATTATCTTGGAAAAAAATGCATAAATATAAAAGAAAAAATGGATCGGGTCTTATAATTAGGATCAAATAAAAAGTCAAATTGGATCTTATAATAAGGACCGGAGGAGTATTTTATTTTATCTCTCCTATAATTAATGTAATATTAACTTTTGATAAGGATGGATTTAAAAAGTATTTTGAATACTTAACATCTCCAATAACACGACTTCTATTCAACTATATATTTTTTGGTTTTTGTGCAGTAGTTACAGTAGACAAAAGTATCTTAGATTTCTTGGGCAATAATCAAACAAAAAATATTGAGAGTCAAATATGGGAAACATTATATATACATATATACATATATATATTAATATTAGAGCACGGTGTGACTCAAGCTGGCTCCAA